CCCAGGACACGCATATTCTGTGCGCTAGGTTATCCCTGACATGCAGAAGGATGACTCCAGAGACGCTGTCCGATGACTCCATAAGACATCCTGGAGTTTCTCGCTATGGCACTGTCTCTACCTGCTAAACCAATGTCCACTATGATCTACTTTGCTTGTTGTTTTAGTGTTGCCTAGAACACCAGTAAGCAGTTAGCTTGGCTGCAACACACGTAATAGGCCAAGTGCTTCTAGATTCATCCAAGAAAATAAAGGAATCTTCAGATCTCTGGTGAGATGTGTTCTGCCATCAAAGGCCAGTGACTGTTTCTGTTGTTGGTAGAAAATGTTATAATCTACTCACCAGGGGAGATAATATTTGCTAATCACATACGTATCTGATAAGGGGCTCAGATCCCAGAATATTTAAAGAACTTGTACAACATTATGGTGGCAATAGATTCACTTTTCTCCTTTTTATCTAGAAGCATATAGCTTTGGACCGTCCTTGGAATGATGGAGATAAGAGTTACTTAAGTCATCTTCTAGAGGGCTTAGCCCTCTTATAGGAACCTCCATTGGAGGAGTATGGTTTTCTCTGAATTGAATTATTATTATAATTACCAGTAGTACATAACTTATTAAAATGTAAATATATTAATATTTAATACTTAATTATTAAACATAAATGTAAGATATTGGAAATGAAATTGCTGGAGATACATGAGGGTCACATTCATGGAACTCTGATGACAGGAATGACCAAATCTAACCTTGAGCTGGCTTCTGGGTCATCTCTCTCTGGGCAATGCATTTTAGAGAGGTGTGGGATGCGTAAGAGGAATTCTTTCTTTTGGAAAAATGGGATAAAGGCAATTATAAAGACACCTTTCCAGAAAATCAATTTTGGGGAAGAGGCAATATGATCAATCTCTGAGGTTCTGAATCTTGAAACCGGTGCCTGAAGATTCTCCGTGCCTGTCTCTGTGTCCTGGAAAGGCCCAGAGCACTGACATGACCACACACTGCAGTGCATACCATTGTCCTGGTGTAACTGCTCTCCCCTGTCACTCTTAGAGAATCTCAGTTTGGATGGTCAACCCCCTCTGGTTGTTTCCAGGGAACACATATTCAGATTTGAAGACTATACTTATAAACCCAAAAGTGTCTGATTTAGTTTCTTTTTTCCCTGTTAAATTAAAAAATATATATTTATTGTATACCTATGATGTGCCACACACTGTAAGTTACCTTGACATAGCTTATCTCATTTTATCATCAGAATGATCAGGGCCGGTGTTTTTATTACACCACCTTCTTCTGAGCAGAGAAGAAAACTGAAAACCCAGAGAGTATAACCAACCAGCCAGGGCTAGGAAGGGGCTAAATCAGAAGTCAAGCCCTGGTGTCCCCGTTTCTAAGGCCTGTCCTGGCAATGGAGCCTGGCCCCTCACACCCTGGGTGGGCACTGCCTTGGGTTGGTTCCGTTCCCCGAGGCATGAGTCCCACCTCCTGAAATGAGGCTTGACCTTGGGCCTGCTCACTGCCAGGCTGCTCTTCTGCCCAAATCTCCACGCGAACCACCTCCTGCTAGGCTCCCTTTCTCATTGCCCGCGCTTTCTCTACATCTCCATCCCGGAGGCTCTGTTCACCAGCCCTCTCCTCCCTCCCCGGGGGCTGCGCTGTGCCCAATCCATTGGACAAAGGCAGCTGGAGCAAAGCCAGTCAGGCCCGTGTTTCCCACAGAATCAAGTCTGAACCCCTTTTCAAGAGTTCCAAGGCTCTTCCTTACAAACGTACAGGTCAGTTCTATCGAATGTTCTCTTCTTTCTCCAACCCCCACCCGCCTTGCCAATTGCTTGTCCCACGCATGTGGCTGCCTCCCTAATCTGCCTTTGATTCATACTTCATATCGCAGCTTAGACCTCTGGGCTGCTTGCCTGGGCTCTGTGAGCCACATTCTGCCTTCGCAGCGGCGTGCTGGAGCCAGCTGGTCCCGGCTCTCAAAGCCGGTGGCTCACAGTGCTTTCCGGCTCCAGCAGTGCGTGACTTTGTGTTGGCATCTCAGAACTGGCCGCAGTGTGAGTCTTCACATCCCAGACACTGGCGAGTGGTACAAATTGGGGCTTTAAAAAACCTTCACACTGGTTGGTAAATACATACCAGCACCACACTGTGCCCCGCCTATATTTTCCTAACACTGTAAACACCATTTATTTCTTTGTCCACTCAACGAACGTTTCCTCACTCACTGCCTACTACTGTTTAGTGCTGAGGACATAAATGGGGGGGCAAATATGTTCCTTGGCATCATGGAGTTTAAAGTGCTGGAAGGGGAGACTTGCCTTATTCAAATATTCACATAAATAGAAAGCAAAGTGGTAATTATGGTAAGAACTGAAAATCCTTTTCCTGGGATATTGACTCTAGTCTAGGAACGTCTTCCTAAGCTAAACTCTGAAGGATGATTTGAGACTGGGGAAGGAACACGGTGAGGGAACAGCATTGAAGGCCAAGGGAACAGCATTGCTGTGCTCAGACGGAGCCTGGCTCTCCGGGGCCAGGGAGAGAAGACAGGCATGGGCAGGAGGGAGCCAGGAAGCCTGGGAGATGCAGCGGCAGTGTTAAGGCCACATGGAGTTCCTTAGGCCTTCGTGAGCAGTTTCACCATTAGCCTAGGAGCAGTGGTTGGCAAACTACGGCTTGCGAGCCACATGTGGCTCTTTGGCCCCTTGAGGGTGGCTCTTCCACAAAACACCACGACCTGGGCGAGTCTTTGTTGAAGAAGTGGCGTTAGAAGAAGTTTAAGTTTAAAAAATGTGGCTCTCCAAAGCAATTTCAATCGTTGTACTGTTGGTATTTGGCTCTGTGGACTAATGAGTTTGCCGACCACTGGCCTAGGAGCAGTGGGGAATGACCGAGTGTTTGCAGCAGGAAGAACACCTGGGGTAGTGGAAAATCAGCACTGCAAGGTGGTTCTGAATTCCACTCGGGCCAGCTTGCTTGGCTCGGAATGCTGGTTCCTGGAACCTTGAATGTCTCAGAGTTCATACATGACTCAATGGGCAACAGGGTCACTGAAAATTCAGAGAGATTGTTAACTGAGGGTCACGTGCATGCAGATCAAGGGACATTGCATGTTTTGTGTTCCCTTACCCGCCTCCCTCTTCCCCCCCCCTCCCCCCAATTGAGCATATGGTTTTTCTTTTTAAATGAAAAGATTTTTTTTTTTTTGGTTGAGAGGAGAGACCTGGATTGCTCCGTGTTTCTCAAAGGTAACTGTTTGTATGTGATAAGAGATCAACCAAAGAACTTGTATGCATATAAGCATAACCAATGGACACAGACAATGCGGTGGCCGTGGCGGTGGCGGGGCAGGTGTGGGGGGTGGGGAAAGCTGGACCTGGGGGCAGGCTTTGAGAGGACAGTGGGGGAATAGGGGACATATGTAATGCTTTCAACAATAAAGAAATTTTAAAAAGAGTGTTAAGCCAAAGGAATGCAAACTCATCCAAACATAACCGGTTGAGAATACGTGCGTGCGCGCACTCTCTGACCAGCAGTGCGGGTGCCCGGCTGAGATGTGTGGTTCTGGGGCAATCAGAGGAGCCTCCGGTTGCCCTCCCCCGCCTTTCACCTTGGCGGTCTCTGCCCTGCGCCGCCCGCAGGATGGGAAAGTAACGGTGCAGTGACCATGACCGCTTCCCGGGTGGGCGTTTGACAGCTCACAGGGCTTGCGGTTCCAGGCCCCATTCGCCAGGCTCAGCGCCACCAAAACCTTGGGTTCCCTTAGCTTCACAGCCCCAGCTTCCCTGCCTGGACCGCCGCTCCTTAAAGCACAAAGCCCCTCTGCCCAGGCCTCCCCCAGACTTTGGCTGCAGGAGCCCTGCGCACCCCACACAGGGGAGCAAGCACCGGGGCTCAGGACCTAAGGGACGCCACTGGGCTAGAGGGAGCCAGGACCCAAAGGTGAGGCGCCCAGGGCGCCCCGTGGCCCTCCCTCCGGTCCCTGGTCCCCAGCGGCGCCCCGCCCCGCCCCGCCCCGGGCCGAGCTGGAGGTGCGCCCGGCCTCCGTCCCGCCGCCCCGGCCCCGCCCGGCGCCCGCGGCCCGCCTTCCCGCCTTCCCGCCTTCCGCCCCGGCAGGGCAGGGCCAGGGCCGCGGTCACGGTCACTGGCGTGGAGGCCCGACCTGCAGGCTGGGCTGCGCGCCGCCCTCCGCCGCCGCCAGCAGCCCCACCAGGTGCGTCCGCCGCCCGCCGGCCGTGCCCACCGCTGCTGGCCCGGCCTGGCTCCTCCGCGGGCCGAGGCCGGTGCGGGCCCCGGGGTTGGACGAGCCCCCGACGGGGCTGGGCTTGGGGGGGGGGGGGCACAGAGAGACGGGCCTGCAGCCTCCGTGACCAGGGAGGCCTGGGCCCAGAACTGGGGGTGCTGCGGGCGCCCAGCTGGCGTGGGGGCTGCAGGACAGTCTGGAGTGCCCTCAGGGAGCCTCTCAGTTAGTAAGACCGCTTCCTCTTCCCTGTCTTGGGACCCAGCTCCCCCCTCCCCCCCAAACCCCAGAGCTCTGTCCCAGCCCCTTTTGGTCCTTTTCCCTTTCCCTTGCACTTTCACTATTGGTGCCATCTCAGCTCTCCCAGGGCAGAGCGGGTCTGACTTGTCAGGCCCCCCGTGGAGTGAGGGAGGCCCTAGGGGAGACGGTGAGCAGAGGAAGGAGGCTGAGTGAGTGCAGGTGAGCTAGAGCCAAGGAAGGAACACCTGCGCCTGCTCAGTGCAGGCAAAGCGGAGGCGGCGGGCACAGGCTCACAGCCCATCTCTGCTGGTTCCCAAAGGGTGTCCGTGGTGGAACGTCTGTAGTCATTTCGTTGTGGCTACTTAAGGGTTGGTTCTGTCTTAGGCTGTTTTTAAAGGAAACATGTAATCACAGAAGCACCCCTCCTCCTTCCCCCCCCCAATATTTACCTTGAGGCAGATTTTCGTGTATGTGATCCTTAAGACAAAATGTTCCTAAGCTTTTTCTCGCCCGTGTTTTTTTGTTTTCTTCGCTGGACTTTGGGAGAATCATTGTCCCCGTAATATTCCTGAACGCGTTTCTGAAAGGCAGGGCGCCTCTCACGGCAGAACCACCTGCTCTGCCTTTGGTAACTCCTTTGTAAAACCAGACGTTCCTCTTGCTTTCAGGATGATGGAGTCTTGTTTTCCGGAGACCGTACTGGCCGGTATGTGGGTGACGGGAGAAGGCTGATTCTATAGTCCAGAGAAGGAAGGAGAGGGATGTACATATGTGTACGCAGACATTTTGGTTGAGACTATTATGGGCCAGGTCTAGGTTTCCAGACCCAGGGTTCCGGAAAAGCTGGATCACTTTGGACTCGTCTCTTGATCTCCTTAGTTCTCGGTTTCATAATCTCCAGGATGAGGGAGGTTGGGTGGGGCCCCTCCCTGAGCTAGATGTCAAGGATTCTCTCTCTTATCAGGGGTAAAAGGTGGCATTCCAGGTGACTTAGTGGGGTTCTGTGTAGCTCAGTTCTCTGCTTGGGAACTCTGGACAATCTTGGGCCTCTTTTCCTCTCTGCCTGGGAGTTCAAGGTGAGGATAGCCGGCTCCGAGCTGGTGGGGAGAACGGAGGGCAACATTTCCTTCTGCATCGCCACGGGCTCCCTGTCCCGGATCTGCCTTGTTTTTCCATGCAGCCCAGCCTGACAGTACCACATATTTCCCGCTGCAAACACTTGGGTAATTTCCCTCCGCTCTTAGGCTAACGAAGGCCTACCAGCCTCCATGGGGCCTTCACTCTGCAGCTGCGCCTCCCAAGCTTCATGGCTCCCTCCTGCCTGCCTTCTTTCCCTTGCTCCCGACAGCCATGCGCCCTCTGAACACAGCAAGCGTCTTTCCCTCAACCCCAAATTATTTTTTACTCAGATTGCCCCATTTAATTCTTAGCGTAAACCTAAGAGGTAAAGTGCTATTGTAGTCCCCGTTGCCTCCCTAAATAGAAGCAGTGCTTGGAAAATGGCAAAGTTGGGTACTCAGAACGCAGGCAGGCGGAGGCAGGGTTCGTTCCCCACAAGACAGACAGTCCAGGGAAAGCCCGTGTGATGTTGGAGAACGTGGTCTCCGGGGCATTGTGGGTAAGTGAATTTTGGATGGGAGTTCGGGCCAACCTCTTCCTTTATAAGAACGACAACTCCTGCAGACGAGGTACAATGCCTGTATCCCTGCCTGGAATCCAGGCACCAGAATGTGTACAGGACCCGTATAATTAGTCAACAAGAGCGAAAGGGGAGCTCTTAAATTAAGTGGAAAATTAATTTGTTCCTTCTTTGTCAGTCACGTTCAGCCTCATGGAAGGCAGAGACCAATTGGGGCCGCTGGAAAGACGGAGAGCGGATGCCAGTTTGATTTAGCTCAGGAGGCTGACATTTTCTGCCCCGCAGGCTGGCGCGATGGAACAGACCTTCTCGTTGCTCACAATATGATGAAAAAACACATTAAAGCCACAATTTTTATTGCTTGCCCCGGAGCCAGAGCTTTAGAATGTACTTTCCTCTCCCCCCCTGCCCGCCCTAACCCACTTAGCTTTTAAAAATAAACCGCGCATTCCTGCGTTGGCTAGAGCCGGGTTATTAGTCCTCTCTCCTTATTCCTGGGCCCTGTTTCATTAAAGAAGTGGGGCTGGTGTGCACCCAGGTCTGTGGAATGTTCCTTTAGTTATTTTGTTAAGCACATGCTAAGTTCGGCACCTGTTTCTTGAGAGTGTACTATAATACATGCCAGGGAAAGGTGAATGAGATGCTGAGTTTGACGAGGAGAGGAAAGTGACTCATGCACACGGATTTATCCCACGGGTGATGCAGAAGTAGCTGCCACTCGTTCTCCTAGCAAAGAGGTCTGGGTAGAGCCGAGGAAGACTTCTGTGAGTGGGTGGGTTTTGAACCCTAAAAACCAAGAGAAGAGAGAGGGGGGGTTCCAAGCAGAGAGAGCTACATGGGCGAGGAAAGGGAGGTGCGTGTGAGCACGGCACTCCCAGGAAGAGGTGGCCATGGGAGAGGTCTTATGAGGGTGGAACCAGAGAACGAAGGCCCTTGAATTCGACACTATTTAGATCTCATGAAAGCCTCTATCATCTTTTTGTTGTTGTTGTTGTTTATTTAAATATATTTTACTGACTTTTTTTAATGAGAGGGACAGAGAGCTAGAAACATGGAAAAGAGAAACATCTATCAGCTGCCTCCTGCACACCCCCTACTGGGGTTGTGCCTGCAACCAAGGTATAATACATGCCCTTGACTGACTGGAATGGAATCAGGGACCCTTCAGTCTGCAGGCAGATGTTCTATCCACTGAGCCAAACTGGTCAGGGCTGTCATCTTCTTTTTCTTTTTTCTTTTTTAATGAATTTCTTGAAGCTGAATTTTTAAGCAGAGGATGCCACGTGTATTTTTTTTTTTTTTTTGAAATAGCTCCATGAATGATGTTTGGGAAGGAAAAGATGTTGGGAGTGGGAAAAAAAAAAATGATGTTTGAGAATACTGTTGCTGTAGTCCACGTGAAATAGGGTGAAGTTCTAAACTAGCCTAGGTGTGAGAGGTACTCAGAAAATAGAGAGGTTCGGATTTAATGACTCGCTGCATATGGGAAGGAAGGTTGCCAGTAATTCCGAGACTTTGGAATGACTTGACGCAGAGGAATGGAGATGCCATTAATGAGAATAATAGATGTAAGATGGGGAAGAGGTCTGGGAGAAAGGCAGTGAGAAGAGGTCCCTGTGGCACAACCAGGAGAGATCCCCAGGACAGCTTTGACGGTAGCCGTACTGTGACATCATACAGTTGAGAACTGCCAAAGGTTATGACAGTTCCTCAGCCTGACAAGACAAATCAACTCCACACACCACTTAAAAAGAAGGAAACACACACACACACACACACACACACACACACACACACACATCAGACTCAGCAACTGACCATTACATCATATTTAAGGTAAGCTCCTTAGAACTCTAGTTGCTATGCAAGTTCCAGGGAAGGAAAAGAGTTGGACACTTACAACAATGAAGCGTTAATAAAAGCCACCAAGAGAAACCGAAACAGAGCAACCCAGGTCGGAGTAGTTGAAAGGGACAGAGAAGCGCAAAAGGGCAGGGGTGTAGCAGAAAGAGGTGATAGGTAAGGACACAGGTACAGGCGGCTTTGGAACACAGAGAAGAAACTTGAGCTGGCTCTTCCAAATAACTGTTACTTCTTTCCTGTAAGAATGCCACGAGCTTTAATTTCTCTTCTTATTCAACCTGTCAGGGAGAGACAAATAGGAGATTGTTCGGAGGCACCGGGCAGGGGGTTGCATGCTCTTTTGCAGAGAAAGTGCCGGGAGACTTTGAACTAAGGGAAGAATAACAAAGGTAGAGCAAGATAAGATGAAAAGGAGAATGATTGGAAGGCATTCTCAGAACACCTAATGGATTCTCTGACAAATAGCTGCTCACAAAGAAGGTAGATGGATGCAGTGTTCTCTGAGTATTATGGCATTGGACTTGCTTGGTAAAAGAGAATTTATTAGTGGAGCACCTTATACTTTAAATATTTTAAAAATTTGATTGTTACCTGAGCCTTCAGAAGCAGGTGCATCTAGTCACTGTTATCTTTTTTTTTGTTTGTTTGTTTAATTTTTTTAGGAACAAAAATCTGGGTGTTTAGGAGGCTGAGTTGGCTTCAGATGCTATGTCTGGCAAGGCATTCGATCCTCGGTTCTATTCCTTGTACCAGGGCTTTGCTTTGCCTCGGAACTTCGGTCTTGTATAGTGTGTCCCTTCCTCCCCCTCCATGCCACATCATGTAAAAGTAAAGCAGATGATTTGAGGGCCAACAAAGCCAAGTGCTGGGGTGAGGGGTGGTGGTGGAAAAGGTCCTTAGCACTGATTCTGCTACATGAAGGGTCCTATATCGAGAATATCTGTGGAGATGGAATGGCACCTTCAATATGGTAGAAGTCTGCAATAGAAAACAGTCTTACAATGAACTCTGCTCTGAGGCAGATATCCCCTTTATAAAGTGAATTTAATCACCCAATGTATTGTTGGATAAATTCAGATTTTCGTATATGTGTTTTGCCTAAAGCAAGTACCTCTGCAGTACGCTGTACCTGCGCTGATTATGTTACATGTGAAGACCCTTATTAATTTATTTTTTTTATCCTCATGAGGATATGTGTTTACTGATTTTTAGAGGGAGAGGAAGGGAGAGAGAAAGAGAATGGATGTGTGAGAGAAACATCTATCGGTTGCATATCAAACTGCAACCCACATATGTGTAGTGACTAGAAATGAACCCACAACCTTTTGGTACAAGGCAGTCATTGGCAAACTGTGGCTTGCGAGCCACATGCGGCTCTTTGGCCCCATGAATGTGGCTCTTCCACAAAATACCACCTGCGGGCGCGCACGTACAGGGCGATAGAAATTTTGTGGCCCATGCGCAGAAGTCGGTTTTTGGCTCTTAAAAAATTTCAGTCTTTATACTGTTTATATTTGGCTCTGTTGACTAATGAGTTTGTCGACCAATGGTATAGGGATGATGCTCCAGCCAACTGTAAAATGTTTTCTAATTTGAGTATCAAATATGAAGACAAGGATTGGAGTTGGTGCCTTAATCATTAGAGACCATTTAAAATTATATTACATAGTAGGTAACTAATCAATGTTTGTAGTATGAAAAAAATGAGTGAACTCATTAATACATACTAGTAATTTTCTTATTACTTTTTACACAGTAGAGCCCTTTGGATTAAAAAAAAAAAGCTTATCAAATATAAAATGAGTGGAAGAACTTTTATTCTTGTATTAAATATCCTTAAGTGATACATGAACAACGTTCTTAATGTGTATTTCCAACTTAAGACTTTAAACATTTAAAAATTCCTCTTAAAGAAGGTAGTTGATAAGAGGATACAATGAAGGCATCATACCAAAATAATGTCATATTTTAATGTGTTGCATTTTTCAAAGCAGAGTATGGCTCAGCTATTTTTTGTTATTGAATTTGTTTTTATTGTGTTTTTTCCTATCACCATTTACCTCCTCTATGCCTTCTTCCACCTCTACGCACCCCTTTCCCCCCTACAATCACCACACTGGTGTCCATGTCCATGAGTTCTCTCTATCTCTTCTTTCTTTAAAGGTGAATGGATTCCCCTATTGGAGATATATCCCTTTTTATCTCCCAATCAAAGTGCTTCCGTATAGCTGGCATGTTAATGCGGACCAGTAGTTTTATTACTAGATCTATCCAGTGGCCAGATACATTTCTATTGAACGAGTACAAAAACATGTTTTACATAAATGTTAAAGGCACGCCTTAAAATTAAATACCCATTGCATTTTGAAGTATTACATGTTCTTACAAGCTAAATCTCGTTTTAAAGTATGATCCTTTGAAGAACACTGTGTAATATGAAAACATGAGAATTCTCCTGATCTGTCCGCCATGTGTTAAGGTGGACTCCTCTCCCAGCTGACTTAGTGAGCTGTAGTTCCAATGTAGGAACAATTCTTGGTAGTTATATCAGCTAAGACTCAGCGACTGGGCAGGGCTCTAGAGCGTGGCATTTTCTTTTTGTGGGTTTTCCAGGACTACTAAAGCTTCAACCCTACACTTTCCAGAGATGGAATAGAGACCTCTCAGATCGTTTCTCCAAAGGCTTTTTGGAAGGAGGGCAGGCAGGAACGGAGATTGGCAGGGGAAGGACTAGGCCTGCTCCCTGGGGGAAGGAGGAATCAGCTTTGAAGACACAAAGGAGCTTTTGGATGTGGAAATTTACAAGGCCCAGAGAGCCCTGGGACATCTTTAGAAGTGGAGCCCAGCGGAATAACGGGAGTCTGTGTGCTGGCCTGGCACCACAGCCTGTCTGGCACCCACTGCACTGGAAACAACCCTTCAGACATTTGCATCTGCATACATGGCACTGGGCACTCAAAATGTCCAATTAAGCACTTGTCAATGGGAGAAAGGTTGGTTTCCTCGGCTGACCTGGTGTCTGCCTGGCCTCTCTGAAGGGGAAGCAGTTGCAGCTGAACCTGTTGTATGCTCTTCCTCTGTGGACCTGATCTTGTCCTTCGTGTTCAGGGAAAATTCTTCTTGAAAGCCACAGAGACCGTGCCAAGTGGCGGGCCGGGGGATTGGATGAGGCAACTGAAGAAAAGTGTCCAGGCTGAAAGCGTTTTTCAAACCCCCCAAAAACCTACTGAACACTTTAGTTTCTTTTGTACAGATGTAAACTCATAGAGCTTAAAAATTACAAAAGTGATAGCAGGTGAGAAAAAGGCTATGTTGGTACGTTTTTCATAGTGTAATTCTTGCAAATACTGAATGTATTCTTTTTTACATTTCAACCAGTATATATTGAACCAGTGTTAATAGTGGTGTTGTGTGTGTAATATATATGTGTCCCTATTCTTTTTTAAAAATTAAACATATTTTTATTGATTTCAGAGAGAAAGGGAGAAGGAAGAGATAGAAACATCAGTGATGAGAGAGAATCATGGATTGGCTGCCTCCTGCACGACCATTCCTGGGGATCGAGCCCAGGACTCAGGCATTTGCCCTTGACTAGAATTGAA